ACTATATACTACATTGCCTCTATCACTATGGAGGATATTTATTTTCAGAACTGTTCTGTTCTTTCCCAATTTTCTAAAATTACTCTTGTTAATAAGAATAAATAAGGTTTTTTCCCCTTTTTAAGGTATGATAGCAAAAAGGCACCATTCACTAAATTACACTGAACTCTACACATTTAAAAAATGATCAAGGGCCATTTCCGCCCCTCAGTGGCTTTACTGTGATGTAATTTACATACTATAAAATATCTCCTTCACCCATTTTAAGTGTAAAACTAAATGAATTTTAGTATATTTTAAAAGTTGTACACTGTCATCACAAACTAATTTTAGAGTATTGCCATCAGTCTTAAAAGAAACCTTAAGGCCGGGCAGGGTGGCTCACCCTTGTAATCCCAGCACTTCGGTAGGCCGAGATGGGCGGATCACAGGTTAGGAGTTCGAAAACAGTCTGGCCAACATGGCAAAAACCTGTCTCTACTAAAAATACAAAAATTAGCCAGGTGTGATGGTGCACGCCTGTAATCCCAGCTACTTGGGAGGCTGAGGCAAGAGAACCGCTTGAACCCAGGAGACGGAGGCTGCAGTGAGCCGAGATCGCACCACTGCACTCCAGCCTGGGTGACACAGTGAGACTCCTCTGTCCACTGCCCCCTGCCCAAGAAAAAAGGAAACCTTGTGCCTTTCACATTCAGTCCCCATTTTCACTCTCAGCATCTGATAACCACTCATCTTCTGTCTCTATAGATTTGTCTCTTCTGAATCCTTTATATAAGGAGAATAATATGATATGTGCTATTTGTGTTTAGCTTTTTTCGCTTAGTGTATTTTCAGGGTTCAACATTGCTGAACAGTATCCATTACATGGATATACCACATGTATTAGGCCCTTCTTGCATTGCTATAAAGAAATACCTGAGGCTGGGTGATTCGTAGAGAAAAGAGGTTTAGGCTGGGCGTGGTGGCTCATGACTGTAATCCCACACATTGGGAGGCTGATGTGGGTGGATCACTTGAGGTCAGGAGTTTGAGACCAGCCTGCAACGTGGTGAAACCTTGCCTCTACTAAAAATACAAAAATTAGCCAGGCGTGGTGGCGTGCGCCTATAATCCCACCTACTCGGAAGGCTGAAGCAGGAGAATCACTTGAACTCAGGAGGCAGAGGTTACAGTGAGCTGAGATCGTGCCATCACCCTCCAGCCTGGGCAACAGAGCAAGACTCCACCTCAAAAAAGAAAAAAAAGAGAGAGAGGAAAAAAAAGAGGTTTAATTGACTTAGAGTTCTGCAGGCTGTGCAAGCATGGCTCCAGCATCTGCTCCTGGTGAGGGCCTCAGGAAGCTTCTAATCACAGCAGAAGGAAAAGGGAAAGCAGGGATGTCACATGGTGACAGCAGGAGCAAGAGAGCAAAGCGGGAGATGCCATACACCTTTAAACAACCAGATTGCAGATGAACTCACTCATCACCAAGGGGATGGTGCGAAGCTGTTCATGAGAGATCTGCCTCCATGATCCATTCACCTCCCACCAGGCTTCAACTCCAACACTGGGGATGACATTTCAACATGAGATTTGGAGGGGACAAACATCCAAACCATATTACCATTATTTTGGGTTTTGTTTAGGTTTGTTTTTTTGTCACCCAGGCTGGAGCACAGTGGTAGGATCATAGCTTATGGTAAGCTCGAACTCCTGGGTTCAAGAAATCCTCCTACCTCAGCCTCCTGAGTAGCTGGGACTACAGACACGTACCACCATGCTCAGCTATTTTAAACTAATTTTTGTAGAGATGCAGTCTCACTACATTGCCCAAGCTGTTCTCAAACTCCTGGCCTCAAGCAATCCTGAGATTATAGGAATGAGCCACCATGCCTGGCTGACAGACCACATTCTATTTATCCACTTATCAACTGATAGCCATTTGGGTGTTTTTAGTTTTTGGCTATGGTGAATAATGCTGCTATGAACATTTGCATACAAGTTTTTGTGTGGACAAAAATTTCTTCAGGGTAAGTACCTAGGATTGGAATTGTTGGATCATACAGTAAGTCTACGTTTAACTCTTTTTTTTTTTTTTTTTTAAATAGAGTCTATTTTGCCTAGTCTGGTCTCAAACTCCTAAGCTCAAGCAATGCTTCTTCCTGGCTATATTTAACTGTTTAAGAAACTGCCAGACTGTTTTCTCAAATGGCTACACCATTTTACATTCCCACCAACAAAGTATGAAAGTTCTAATTTCTCTACATTCTTGCCAACACTAACTTTTGTCCTCTTTTTTTTTTTTGAGATGGAGTCTTGCTATGTCACCCAGGCTGGAGTGCAATGGTGTGACCTTGGCTCACTGCAACCTCCACCTCCCGAGTCAAGCAATTCTCCTGCCTCAGCTTCCCTAGTAGCTGGGATTATAGGCACGCACAACCATGCCCAGCTAATTTTCCTATTTTTATTAGAGAAGGGGTTTCAACATGTTGGCCAGGCTGGTCTCGAACTCCTGAACTCAAGTTATCTACCAGCCTTGGCCTCTCAAAGTGCTGGGATTACAGGCGTGAGCCACCGTGCCTGGCTGTGTCTGTCTTTTTTATTCTAGCCATTCTACTGAGTGAGAAATGCTATCTCATGAGGGCTTTGATTTGTATTTCCCTAATGGTTCATGATGTTAAATGTCTTTTCATATACGTATTGGTCATCTGTATATCCCCTTTGGAGAAATGGTTATTCAAATAATTTGCCCATTAAAATAAAAATTTCATCTTTAAGAGCAGTTTTGAGTTCACAGCAAAACTGAACAGAAAATACAGGGTTCCCCTACCCCCCCCCACCATCAACATCAGGCACCAGAAGAAACATTTGTTACAAGCAATGGCGCTATACTGACACACCAGTATCACCCATATCCCATAGTTTACATTCGGTTTCACTCTTGGTGTTGTACATCCTGTAGGGTTTGACAAATTTGTAATAACATGTATCCACCCTTATATCGTCCAGAGTAATTTCACTACCCTAAACATTCTCTGTGCACCACCTCTGTGCATTTCTCCCCACTCCCAGCCCCTGCCATCTTTTTACTCTTTCCATAGTTTTACATTTTCCAGGATGTAATATAGTTGGAATCATACAGTACGTAGCTTTTTCAGATTGGCTTCTTTCACTTAGTAATATGCATTTAAGGTTTCTCCATGCCTTTTCACGGCTTAATAGCTCATTTCTTTCTAGTGCTCAATACAGTTCATTGTCTGGATATACCACAGTTTATTTATCCATTCACCTGCTAAAGGACATCTAGGTTGCTTTCAAGTTTTGGCAATTACAAATAAAGCTGCTCTAAACATCCATGTGCAGGTTTCTGTGTGGACATAAGTTTTCAGCTCATTTGGGTAAACACTAAGAAGTGCAATGGCTGGATCTTCTGATAGGAGTATGTTTAGTTTTGTAAGAAAGCCAAACTGTCTTCCAAAGTTGCTGTATCATTTTGCATTCCTACCAGTAAGGAGAGTTCCTGTTGCTTCACATCCTCACCAGCACTTGTGTTGCCACCCTTGCCCATTTCTAAATTTGGCTATTTGTCTTTTCATTATTGAGTTGTAAGAATTTTATGTATGCTAGATACAAGTCCCTTATGGAACATGTGATTTGCAAAATTTTTCTCAGGCCGGGCGCGGTGGCTCAAGCCTATAATCCCAGCACTTTGGGAGGCCGAGACGGGTGGATCACGAGGTCAGGAGATCGAGACCATCCTGGCTAACACGGTGAAACCCCGTCTCTATTAAGAAATACAAAAAACTAGCCGGGCGAGGTGGCGGGCGCCTGTAGTCCCAGCTAGTCGGGAGGCTGAGGCAGGAGAATGGCGTGAACCTGGGAGGCGGAGCTTGCAGTGAGCTGAGATCCGGCCACTGCACTCCAGCCTGGGTGACAGAGCGAGACTCCGTCTCAAAAAAAAAAAAAAAAAAAATTTTTCTCTCGGTTTGTGAGTTGTTTAGAGGTCTTTTTTTTTTTTTTTTTTTTTTGAGAAAGGGTCTCACTCTGTCACCCAGACTAGAATCCCGTGGCGCAATCTTGGCTCACCACAACCTCCGCCTCCCAGGCTCAAGCAATTCTCCTGCCTCAGCCTCCCGACTAGCTGAGATTACAGGTGCCCACCAACACGCCAGCTAATTTTTGTATTTTTAGTAGAGACAGGGTTTCACCATGTTGGCCAGGCTGGTCTCGAACTCCTGACCTCAGGTGATACACCCGCCTTGGCCTCCCAAAGTGCTGGGATTACAGGTGTGAGCCACCACCCCCGGCTGATATACTCATTTTATAGATGAGAAAACTGAGGCACAAAGAGACTAAGTTACGTTACAGCATTGGGGTTGAAGCCCAGGCAGCTGGTGCCACAGTCGGTTTTCTGACTCTCACAGCACCTATACCATGATATCTACCTGTGTGATTCTAACTGCACCATTGCAGTCCAGTCTAGGTGAGTCTCACTCTGTCTCAAAAAAAAAAAAAAAAAAAGGATATATCAACATTATCTCACTGGTGTGTTGTGGGGCCTAGCCAAGTTAATGTACCTAGAAAACTAGAGAACAGTGGCTACTAAGGACATCTAAGGACACTTCATATAAACCTTAAGTGTGTTACAACTTCTTAAGTCAGTACTGAAGTTCAAAAGCTTCCATTTTATTATTATGCTTTATACTTTATGTATGTTACGTGCTTCCTTTTTTATAGCTCACTTGAATATACATATACATTTTAGAAGATAATAAGAAAAAAGTATATCTGGTCTTTTAAACCTTCGAAATGGGAAAGTTTGGACTAGATGCAGGGGTAAGCTCAGTCCTGGCCCCTGGCCCTTCCCCAGTACTCACAGGCTCCTGTCAACTGCACCTTCAGAAAAAGACCGAGACTCTTAGGCAGGAGTCAGGCAGGTGGGGGGCGATCTGTCACGTGACCTAGACTCCGGCCCACCTGAGTTTCCTCATCTGTAAAATGGGGATGCCGACGGTACCTACCTGACCTGAGAGCGGAGAACACTGAGATATCTTGCCCGTGGCCTGCCCTGTGGTTAGCTGTCCTTTTTTCCTTGACACTTGTAGGTTCCTCTCGTGGGAAAACGCCAGCGAAGAGAGACACCCAGAATGGACGATCTAAGGTTCCTTCCAGCTTCCAAATTCTGGTCTGCTTTTCAGAGATCCAGGGCTCGGGATGCGAATGTCCCTGTCTACGATGGGGCTGCCGTTACAGCCTTCCTCCCGGGGCTCTGGAGACGCGCCGGCGCTTTGACACCTCTCTTGTGCTAAGGAAGAGTCGGTTTACAGAAAAACAAGTATACCCTGGCCCTGCAGAAAGCCGCCAGGCGGCAGGGCAAGCGCCACCGCAGTCCAGGCGCCATTATCTGCCTCAGCAGTTACCTCGGGGGCCCGCCGCGAGGAGGTTCTTCAAGGCCTGCGCGTCCACGGACACTACCAGGGAGCGCGGCGGGCAGCCGGATAGCAGGACGCTGACAGAAGTCCCGCAGTCGCTCGGCGTCCTCGGCGCCAGCTCACGACCCAGCGACCACCCTGCTGCCCAAGCGTCCCCTGGCGGCGACGCCGGCCCGTTAGCGCGACAGATAGGTTAGTCCAAAGGCCAAGCGGCGCTTCTGTAGATGAGCATGCGCAACCCCCACCCTTCGCTCAGCCAGAGAGAGGCTTCGCAGCCAATCGGAGAGCCTTACAGTCATTCTCCCGCCCACCCAGCATACAGGCGGGGCATTCCCCCTCAGCCAATGAGAAAAGACATTCGCCCGCGGGTCGCACGCGCGGCTTGCAAAGAGGTGGGGTTGTGGAGTGGATACTTTGGCAAGATGGCGGCGAGCGGCGTCCGCCAAGCTGCGTCTACCGCCAGCACCTTTGTGAAGCCCATTTTCAGTCGGGACACGAACGAGGCCAAGCGGAGGGTGCGCGAGCTCTACCGCGCCTGGTATCGGGAGGTGCCGAACACTGGTGAGAGGTAGCGGCTTACGTGGGGACCCGGAGGCCGCCGCTCAAGGTCGTAGCCGGCCCAGCCGGGGTTTCTCATGGGCCGAGCTGAGGTCACCAATTTGGGCAGAGGCGATTGCGGGTGCTTCAGGGGAAGAGCGTCACCGGAGCCTACCACGGGCCGGATCCGGCGGCGCCGTGGTCAGACCGGCCGTCCCCAGCATTCGTACGGTGCCCTCGGAGCTTTGGTTTGTCCCCCGCAATTGGCAGGAGGACGAGGACTGTCAGTGACACACTCACTTTGGGTGAGGCAGCGGAGGCACCGAGAGGCGAAGTGATGTGCCCAGGGCCCAGGCCGAGCCACTGGTGTACCTGGAACCCAAAGTCTAGAGTTGCAGAGTGTAATTTAGATGCCCGTTGGATTTTTTGTTTTGTTTGTGACAGAGTCTCGCTGTGTAGCCCAGCCTGGAGTGAAGTGGCACGATCTCGGCTCACTGCAACCTCTGCCTCCTGCGTTCAAGCGATTCTCCTACCTCAGCCTCCCGAGTAGCTGGGACTACAGGCGTTCGCTAGCATGCCTGGCTAATTTTTGTATCTTTAGTAGAGACGGGATTTCACCATGTTGGCCAGGCTGGTCTCCAACTCCTGACCTCAAGTGATCCGCTGGCCTTGGCCTCCCAAAGTACTGGGATTACAGGCGTGAGCCACTGCGCCCGACCTGACTCGGTGTTTTCACATGGCGCGTAATGCTAGTCGGAGAAAGAGGTGTTTGGTTTTTTGTTTTTGTTTTTGTTTTGAGACGAAGTCTCAGGCTGGAGCGCAGTGGTGCGATCTCGGCTCACTGCAAGCCCCGCCTCCTGGGTTCTCGCCATTCTCCTGCCTCAGTCTCCCGAGTAGCTGGGATTACAGGGGCCCCCCACCACGCCCGGCATATGTTTTTGTATTTTTAGTAGAGACTGGGTTTCACCGTGTTAGCCAGGATGGTCTCGATCTCCTGACCTCGTGATCCGCCCGTCTTGGCCTCCCGAAGCTTGAGAAAGAGGTGTTTTTGAGTGAGCTGGAGCATGGTGCCACTCCTCAGGGCTGTCTTGTCCCTGCTTGTGTGTGTGTGAAGAGGCGGTAGAATGTGGTGGTTAGGAGCATGGACTTTTATCCAGGCGCTGCCCTCAACTAGCTATGTGACTTTGGGCGAGGTATTTCATCTGTTCCTGTTTCTTCATCTTTAAAATGGCAATGTGGCCGGGCGCGGTGGCTCAAGCCTGTAATCCCAGCACTTTGGGAGGCCGAGGCGGGTGGATCACGAGGTCAGGAGATCGAGACTATCCTGGCTAACATGGTGAAACCCCGTCTCTACTAAAAATACAAAAAACTAGCTGGGCGTGGTGGCGGGCGCCTGTAGTCCCAGCTACTTGGGAGGCTGAGGCGGGAGAATGGCGTGAACCCGGAAGGCGGAGTTTGCAGTGAGCCGAGATCACGCCACTGCACTCCAGCCTGGGAGACACAGCGAGACTCCGTCTCAAAAAAAAAAAAAAATTAAATAAATAAATAAAATGGGAATGATAATTCCTTCTTCAGAAAGTTACTGTATTAAGTTAAAAATATCTAGAGTGCTTAGAACAGGGCTTGGTGCATATTTAACTCATTAAATATTAGCTGCTGCCATTGTTTTTGTTGTTATTTTTGTTATTTATAGGGCTTACCTTAGCAGCAGCTTCCAAGCAGAACCCGGTTCTTTGACATATGAGAACCGTCTCTGCTCCACAGAGTCCCTGTCCTCAAGCTGACTTTTGGAAAAATTGCTACTGACTAGAACTTAAACCCACGCGTTACTAGAGAAGGAGAAACTTGAGTGATCCGCTGGTTCAGGGGCTGCAAATTCAGATGCCTTCAGGGGCAGGCAGATAAAAGATGTGTGTGGGGAGTGACAGTAGCAGTGTGTATGTGTATGTGTGTGTGTTTTGGGGTGGTGCATTCAAATTCAGAAGTTTGAAAACATAATGTTTACCTGGCAGAATACTTCTAGGAGTACCCAGAACCCTCTCTGGTTGCAGGAGGAAGGAGCTGGGGGAAGGAGGACCACATTGAAAAAGGGTGGCTTGTGAAGGGTAAATCAGTGGCCAAGTAGAAGACAGAACCCAGGTATCCTGACTCTGAGAATCCAGCTCTTTCTAAACCATCCCCTCCCAAGACCTTCCCTCAAATTCTGTTTTGGGAAGAAAGTCCTAAAGTCAGAAGGGTCTTGAGAGGAGGAAAAGAAGGCAGAGGGTTACAGGAGCCTAAAGAGCAAGGGAAGAGGAGAGAAAAGAAGGGGTCAAGGAGTGTGCATCCCTTTGGGGAAGATCAGTGATCTGCAGCTGGCCAGTTACACAGACCTGTGCCACATGGGTTTTATGGTATCCATCATCAGGACTCCAGCTGAGGAATCAAATCAAGGAAGGGGAAAATAGTGTCAATAACTTAGACAGCCTGAGCATTAATAAACAAAAGTAAAATTTTAAGTATTTAATGAAAAAAATAGTATTGATAACTCACTTTTTTTTTTTTTTTTTTTTTTTTGAGACAGTCTCGCTCTGTCTCCCAGGCTGGAGTGCAATGGCGCGATCTCGGCTCACTGCAACCTCTGCCTCCCGGGTTCAAGTGATTCCCCATGCCTCAGCGTCCCAAGTAGCTGGGATTATAGGTGCGCGCCACCATACCTGGCTAACTTTTGTATTTTTAGTAGAGATGGGGTTTCACCATGTTGGCCAGGCTGTCTCGAACTTCTGACCTCAGGTGATCCGCTGGCCTTAGCCTGCCAAAGTGCTGGGATTACAGGCATGAGCCACTGTGACTGGCTGATAACTAACATTTATTAAAATGCTTACATATGACTCAGCACTATGCCTTATTTTAGGGTGGGCTCTAATAGTGTCCTTGCCTTGTAGATGAGAAAACTGAGGCACATAAATTTGTCTCAGATGACATCGTTAGGAGGTAGAAGAGCCTACCTGTAAACCCCTAATACCCGGCTCTTAGCTTCTACTGCAGTTTTCCCTGAATCTCCCAGGGCCCAGTTTTGCATGGGAGCACAGGGATAGAACTGCCTTTGAATCCTTCCTTGGAAAAAATATGACATGCTGTTTGCTGGCCGTAAGGTAACAGGAGACTTTCTATAGAAACAGTTCATTCATTTAATTTCCATTTCATTAAGTATCTGTTGTACTTCAGAGTCAGTACTAGATGCCTAGAGAGATACAAAAATGAATAAAACACAACCCTGCCTTCAAGGGTCTGATGGTCTAGTCTTATGGTCTAGTCTATTATAGGCATTTAACCAGATAATTAAACCCAAGGTATTATAGAGGTATGGGGGAAAAAGTGTGACAGTTTTAACAGCCAGCATTTGGATCATGCTTTACAAGGTGTCACTTGATTTTTCACTATATTCCTGTAAAAGAATTAGGTTAGAGTTTATTTTCTTTCCTTTTTTTTTTTTAGATGAGATGACAGGCTAAGGAGGCTGTACCCCAGGCAAGATCATAATTTATAATGATCTGGAGACCTTACCCAGCTTATTTGACCCCTAATCCCACATTATTTTCCATTATACTATGCTGCCTTCCCATCTAAGAATACAGGCCTTGTGCCTTGTATGAATGCAACCAAAATGAATTGGAGCAAATAACTGAGAGCAGTATCGGATTGTCCTTCCGAATCTGTCAGAGCCTTCTGGACTCAAGAAAGCCTTAACAATAACTTCAGAAAAGCACACAGAGACTGTGGAAAAGTCACCTTCACCCAAAAGGGGTACTTCCTTTTGAGCCTCTCAGATTTTTTCAAATTGAAATAGAAGTATTCAGGATTCAAAGAATAAGCCAGGAATTTGTGAGTTGAGAAAGAACAATTGGAACTGATTTACATCAGGGTTTCTCAACAGTGGCATGTGGGCTGGACGATTGCTGTGCAGGGCTGTCCCCTGCATCATAGGATGTTTAGCAGCATCCCTGGCCTCTACCCACAAGATGCCAGTAGCACCCACCCCATGGGTGTGACAACCAAAAATGCTTCCAGACACTGCCAAATGTTCTGGGGGGCAAAATCATTGCTGGTTTGCCACAGATTTAGACCAAGGAACGATTCAGTCTACGGCTAGGCTATTTCCATTTGCTTTTCTGCAGCCTTTCTCGCTGGTTGGGGGTGCATTCAGAGTGTTGGGATGGGAGGAGGGAGCCTGGGACAGACCTATATGGAATTTGTCTTTCTAGAGACAAGGGTTCTTAATCTGAGGATGGGCACTCAAGGATCTGTAACCTCCTGAAACTGTAAGTAAAATGTTGCATTTATGCATGTGAATATTTTGCTGATGAGAAGATTCATCACCCAGTGCCCTGCTGTGTAGTAGTTCAGGAGATCATGAGGAATGGGAGCTGATGGGCACAAGCTCCCGTAAGTATGCCCAGAGAAATATTGTTTTTTTGTTCCCAAAGTTGGTCAGGAATCTAAAATAAAAAATGCAGGAAAGATAAGCACTGATAGTAGGGGAAGATTCCTCATAGTCTCTTCCTTAAAAGAGCACTGGATTGTAAAAAAAAAACAAACCCTGGATTCTAGACACACGTGTACCAAGGACAGGTTTGGTCAGGTGTGGTAGCTTACACTTGTAATCCCAGCACTTTGGGAGGCAGAGGCAGAAGGATCGCTTAAGCCCAGGAGTTCAAGACCAGC